TTGATCCTCTCCGTGGCGGAGGAAAGCAGGCGGGCACGCTGGAGGATTATGGAGTTAATCTGCCCGCCGGTGCCGGAGGCCCCTCAGCCCTGCCCGAGCCCTGCCGGGGAGCCTGGGCTGCTCAAAGTCCAGTCGGGAGAGCAGCTCGGCGTTCATGTTAGTACCTTGCTGTGCGAATCCATCGCTCTGTGCTGGGCCTGTTGTTACCCCACAGGTGAGGCTGTTTCCTTGGCTTTTTTTTTTTTTTCTTTTCACATCTGGCAATAGCCCAGTGCCTGCAGTCTGCAGCTGGCCAGAAGCTCTGTGTGGAGCTGGGGGCCCATTAGAAGATTTACTCATGCCATGGGGAACACTGCGGGCAATCAAACCCAGCCCGAGCGTCTAAAGCTGCATCCTGTGCTGTGCTGTCTGTCTGGTGTAATACGGGCTGGTAAGCGAAGGAATATTCCTTGCTGCAGCTGAAAGTCATGGCCAGGATGTGAAAATGCCCCCTGGAAAGTAATGTTTGAACAGTAAATGAATGGAGTCTTGTGTTTTCCTGTAATGAATAGCATCAGGTGGTTTAATGGCTTAATTTCAGGTTGGCGTGCCCTTTTCCGAGTCCCCGCCTCGCTGACTTGTAAGCTGGGAGACTCGTCTGCTTTCCTCCGTGCCCAGGCTTCCCAGCCCTTCCCGGGTGGGGGCCTGGGCAGCAGAGCGTGGAGGGGCCCCATCCCTTTGTCGTCGACCTGGGCCACCCCAGCTCCCTCCGGCACCTCCGTGGAGGTCAGGCAAAGCTGGCTGTCTAACGCTTGCCTTTTTTTGCCCTGTCTGCAGTACCACAGCAGCCTGGCTTCTCTAAATGGCCTCGAGGTTCATCTGAGGGAGACTCTGCCCAAAGACTCCTCTTCCTCAGCCAAGACAACCTACAGCTTCACTCACTATGATAGCGTTCAGAACGTACTCACGGGTAAGCCTTCGCCTTCTGGAACAGCAGCCGCTTCGGAGGAGGGAATAAGGAGGAGAACAGGGTTTGTGGTAACCTTTCCTCATGCTTCAGGCAACTCCTCGGCAGCATTGCTTGCTATAACTCTTACCAGATAGCCTGGATAGAAGGCCCTGCTGAGGAAGCTTTGTCTTTTGCGAGTTTATAATCTGCTGAAGGCTTGTTGGTCGCTTTGTTTGGATGAGAGCCAGAGGCCGCTGGGAGATGGAGCAGCTGCCTTTGGGGCTTGGCTCTGGAAGATGTCGCTTGGGGTTCTGCTTAGGGCTAGGTCCGAGGACAGGGCTCGGCATCTCTTCAAACTCGACCTTCCTCCCCCTGACTTCATTTGTCAGCCTTTTGTCCCGCTGTACAACAGCCTGTGTGTCAGCCTTTTTTGGCTATGAGAAGCAGGAGCTGGGAACAGGTAGGAGCCAGCCGTTTGGAGACCGCTGTCCTGGATCGAGGGGTAGACATCGACACACAGAAAGCCCCGTGCACGTATTGTCCCCGTTCGTTCTAACATTTCCCTTTTTTGGCAGCCTCGCAGGCAAGTGTCCCACCTCTCTCCAGCTTAGAAGTAGTGCTTTAGGGAACGAGAGAAACCCCCGTGATTCGAGGTGACCCAGGTCTCAGGCCTTTTTGTCACCCCTCTGATGCGTGGGGTGGAAAGGGACACTGAGCTTTTGGGTTGTGCGTAGGCGAGCACGGTGCAAGCTGCCGACTAATTTGATTGAGGCCACACTGGGGCTCAGGGTGTCACCCCGCCCCTGCTCTGTAGATATCCAGGGTCTGTGGGAGAGGTCCACAGCCGTAAATGGGGGCACGCTCCTCTGCAGAACGGGCTTTTAACACCTCCCCTTCCTCCTGTTCCGCAGCCAACCTGCCCCGTACGCCTGGCCCCCTGGATCGGCACTTCCTGAGAGCCGCTACGCTGATCCACTCCGACTTCAACCAGCTTCCGACCGCTTCAGAAATGATCATTAGGTAAGGTGTGCTTAGAACCCCCTCCCCTCCCAGGCACGGGAGTGCTGGGTGGCACACGGAACAGGCAGAAGGGGGGAACGCCTTTTTGAAGGCCGGCTGCGGTTTGGCACGCGTTGTAACCGCACCGGTGTCTCTTGCCGAGGGTCGGGCATGTCGCCGTATTCCCTGAAGTTTGCTCTGTAGATGTGGGCCACTTAATACTCCACCTGCGGTGTGGTCTGGGATGGCACCGAGGCGGCTGAGCCGAAGGCACAGCTGAGTTGTGCCGTGGGTCTGGATTAAGGCACAATACCAGGATATTGCCAGTTCCTGGCACCGTAAGGTTCTAAGGCACAGCGTTAAATATAGCTGTTCCTAATAAATTTGTGTCTCGGCTGGGAGCCAAAGGCACCCAGAGTTGGCAACCTAGATTTTGTTTTCTTGCACGGCCTGTTGGGTTGGAAACGCGCTGTAATGTGCGTGGCAAGCTCAACTGTAACGCGCCAGGCGAGGTGGTCTTATCCCCGCCGTGGCTAAAGCTGGGCTTGCGCCGCAGCACCTCCCCGCTCCCGGCTCTGCTTGTGTTGTGGGTGCGCAGAGATTCTGCTTGCCTGGCCACGCTTGTTTGTCCAAAACACGATGAAATAAAGATGCTTCTGGGAATTACACTGTTTCACTTCCCCGGCGCAGCTTGCCAAGGGAATGTGAATCATGCACTTCAATGCTGGTGAGCTCCTTATTTAGTGTGAGTTTGACTGGCTCCTTAAATCCTCTACCAGCTAAGCTGGCGTATTCCGTGTTGCCCCGAAAAAAAGCAGCTCCATGTATGAATCAGACTGAGTAACAACATGACTAAAACTGCTTTCTTTAATGGAGAGTTGTCACAGAGGGTGTCAGCAAACATATCAGTCGCTGCTTTCCTCCGTCAGGGAGGAATGCAGCGTCCTTTGCTTTGCTCCCTGCCAGCCCTCTTGCAGGTAGATACTGAGTGGTGGGTTTTAAGCAGCGACTTGAGCTTCCGTGGTATCTTGACTGTTGTCCAAGCTTCGTCACACGTGTGACTAAACAGCCTCGTGTGGTTCCTGCTGCAAGGGTGCTGTGCTGGGATTTGCTTATGGACAGCAGCAGCGAGAGAGGTTCCTCCAGGGAAGAAGGGGTGTTAGACACGAGGAGTATTTAACTACCAGCGCTGGATGTACTGGGCTGGGCTGCCAGCAAGGGAAATGCTCCGAGGATGGGCGCGGGCATGGCTGTTGATGGTGCTGAGAAGGTCCCAGAGGATGTGACACATGATGCTTTCTCTCTTAGGGTGCCAGGACCCTTGAGAAGGAGGGTCTGGTTCCCTGCCGCCGCCTGGTAATACACTGCAGGGTTTTGGTGCCCATTTTAGCTCTGTGTTCCTTTGCTCTGCTGAGACCTAAAACTCTCTCTCGATAGCTGGGTGTCCAGTGCCACAAGCATCCCAGTGCCCGGCCTGGTGAATTGAAGGGGATCTTGCACAAAGCTGTAAATCCTGACCACTGCCTTCTCTCCTGCCCTGCTAGGAACGCCTCCACGGCCGTGTACGCCTGCCGGAATCCCGTCCAGGAAACCTACTTCCAGCAGCTGGGCGCTCCGCTCCGCAACTCGGGCGTTCCCAACCCTCACGACAGTGCATTCAGCTTGCCGAGCAAGGCCAAGCAGAAGCTGCTGAAGCATGGAGTGAACCTGCTCTGAACTGGTGCACTGAGGCAACGTGCCACAGCCCGTCCTGAAAGTTAGCTCACCTCTGATAAGTGAAATCTGAAAGCCATTTATTCTGCAGGAGGCTCTGCTGCACCTATGGGGCCTGCAGCCTGCCTTGCCCTGAGCAAGGGGCGCTCTTAGTGCCCTGGTCCTGCAGCACGCTCTGGGCTAGCGCGGGGCATCGCTGACGTTAGCACTTACCAAAGACTGCGGTTAGAACATAGCTGTGGTGGGGTGCTTGGTTTACATTGAATCTAGGACTGTTCATGGTGCTCTGCTGCCCCAGGCAGAGACTCCTGGAGTGCCTTGACCTAAAGTAAAACCTCTTCTTGCTCTAAGCTACGCAGAGGCCGGGCTGCTGGGTAGTACTGGCTTTCGGAGACGGCAGTCAGACACTGCACCTGCCTGGAGTTCTGTGCCTACACTTGCCCCGGTCAAACTTGGGCTTTATTTATATTTTTTCACCTATAGAAATGATCCCCTGCCACAATATAACGCCTTACCTCGATTAACAGAGCCTGCATATCCTCAGTCTAACTGGAATAGAACAAGTGCTGCAAAAACTCATAATCTTCCTACGGGTGCCGTCAGGAGGTTTTTAGCCCCTAGATGAATTTGGGAGATCCTTGTCCCTCCAGACACGCCCCATCGGTGGCTGTGCGGCACAGCGCTGCCTTCCCCGCTGCCCCCCGTGCAGCTGCACCCACCGGCCTCGCAAGGGGCCGCGGCGATGGTGGTGGCATGAATGCACCGCGCCTCCCGCCTCGCCTCTCCGGCTCCCTTCTCCCTCCTGCCGGAGCGCCCTGTTCCACCTCCTTGCTCTTGCTGCTCAGTTTGTCTCTGCTCTGTCGACAGAAGGGGCAGGCGGGAGCCCCTTAAGCTAATGGGACCAAAGAGGTTTTGTAGCTCCTGGCAGCTCTTCTCTTGCCGCTCAGACAGCGGCGTGGCCCCTCTGCGCGGTGACGGCCGCTTGGACCTGAGCGATGGATACCTGCCTGTCTGGGCTGCGTGCTTGAGAGCCTGCTGCTGTTACGCACACGTCGCTGTGGAAATAAAAGGGAGTCCCCGAGACTCCTCCGAGCGCTGCGTGTCAGTGGTCAGGGTCCCGCCTACTGCTTGGTCGTTGTGTTTGTGATTCCTGGTGTGAGGGGTTGGGGTTGGGTCACCCCCTTACCCCCAGCTAGCCCCCCGCTGAGGGCGAGTGCCTGCACTGGGGGGGTTGGACGGGCCGTGCCTGTTGCTGCGATCGCTCCTGCAGAGCAGCGACTTGTCAGGGTCTGGGGCGGCTGCTGACGGAAGGTGTGGTCCCGGCTTTGCCGTGGCGCGGGGGGCAGATTGTGTCGGTGTTAGGGGGCTCCCAGGAGCTGGATGCGGTTAAGTCACCATCGTCACAACTTCTTGTTCCACGCTGACGGTGGGCAATGCCCGAGGTAGCTCTGCCGTCGCAGGGCTCCTCTGCAGACCTTGGCTGGGAGGTTCAGTGGACTCGGGAGGAAGAGCCAGCTGCTGGCCCGGGGCTGGCTGGGCACCGAGTGCCGTCTGCCTCCAGCTCCGGCAGCTGAGGGGGTGTTTCAGCAGCAGGAGAGCTGTGCGCCGCTGCTCCCTGCTCCTAATTCAGGGCAGGGTTAGGTTGGACGTTAGGAAAAACTTCTTCACCGAAAGGGTTGTCAGGCTCTGGAAAGGGCTTTTCCAACCAAAGTGATTCTGTGATTCTACTGCCCTCCCGGTGGGGGCTGTAGGAGGGGAGCTGCTCTGCACTGAAGAGAGTCCCAGTGATGTTTGTGAAACACCAGGGGGAAGGCTGAGCTACAGCCACCCAGGAGGCCTCCTGCCTTGGTGGTACCCCTGCAGAGGGGGGCACAGGGAAAGGCGCTGCTTCCCCAGCCTTGGTTCTGGAGCACAGCCCGGAGAGGCACCGTGTAGGTGAGGGATGAGGTGGTGGTGGGGAGGACGGCCGTGTGCTCCGGCCCTCTTGCCGTGCTCTGGGCTCCTCTGGCGTGCCGAGCCACGATCTCACCCCTCTGCTAGGTGCTGCTCTGTCTGTCTCCTCTCTGCACCCTCAGCAGCCCTTGGTCCAGGTTCCCTCTGCGATCCCGGGAGGCAAGGAAGGCTCGGAGCGCCCGGAGGAGCAGCAAGGCAGCAGGCAGGGCTGCGAGGCAGCTCCGGAGGGCTCTGCTTCCCCGAGGGGGATCCTGCTGCCGCCTCGCTGGGTGTTTGGGGAAGCGGCTGTGTGCTCTATCAGGCAACGCGAAGAAGTTGAAGGAAAAGCCTGAGAGGGACAGGAGGGAGTTTTGGCACAGCAGCAAAGCACAAAATAGATGCTTTTTGCCTGCTGCCGTCAGGAATCTTCCACTACAATCTGCTGTGCCGTCTGTCGGCAGCGGAACAGCTGGGGCGGCTTCGTTCCCTTTTGCTTCTTGAACTGCATCTGGCCACCGAGCCCCGTTTCTGTCCTTCGGTCATTAAGAGGAAAGTTGTCTTGGGGTCGTACAGCAGGGAGCTCCAGGCCCTTGACTTAATGGCCGCGTTGCAGGGATGTTTAAAATTGGCCGTTTCCAGTATAACAAGACGCGGAGCAGCTGCTGCCCTGGCCGTGTCCTGTCGGAGCGTGCGGGAGCGCTGCTAACGAGGGCCCAGGGCCTCACGCTGGGCGATTTCTGGCCTGGCCAAGCTGGCCTGTGCCCGGGGCGATGTTGGGCGCTGGCTGCCGGGCAGTTGGGCAGCCCCGCACCCTCTGCCCGGGCACTGCTCCCGGTGAAGCTGCCTTCCGTGCGTCAGCGCAGGCAGCCCGAAGCGGGTTCCGAAAGGGTTTATTCGCAGACTCTGCGGCAGGCTGGTGGCCCCGCTGCGGCGCCGGGGGGCTGGCGGGGCGGGGGCTGCCCGTGGGGCTGGCTGGGGGGGGTCTCCACTGCCTGGGCACGGGTGGCGTGGCTGTAGCCTGCAGGCTGCCGGGGTCCGCAGCGCCGGGACCGGAGGGGTATGATATAGAATCATAGAATGTTTGGGGGGGGAAGGGAGCCCTAGAGGTCATCTAGTCCAACCCCCCTGCAGGGAGCAGGGACACCGCTAACCAGATCAGGTTGCTCAGGGCCCCATCAACCATGGTGGAGGCAGGGCGATCCAAAGCAGTCACCCCCTGTGCTCCTGGGCAGCGCGGGCTGCGGCTGGAGCCCGGGCCAGGGAGGCTGTAACCGCTCAGCAGTGCCACGGGGCTGGGTGTTCTAAAGCAACGCCCTCGCTCACCGCATCACTGGCAAACTCATCCCGGGCCCATCCCATCCTCCCGCCCTGGAGCTCCTGCTTTTTTCCAGCATTTCTCCCTACCAGCAGCAGGCTGAGCCCCTGGGGTAAGCAGGACCCAAGCCCTCCCATGTTTTTCTTGGCCCTGGAATAGTGACACCAGCAGGCAGAGCCCATTCTGTTTTCAGCACAACTGTTTATTGATAATCTTTGCTTATCCACTGTATGAATGTTACCAAACTGCAGGACAGTTACCAAGCCAGCCTGCGTCCTCAGGGTCTGGTTCCAGGTACTCAATGCGTGTAGAAATCATGCACGTCAGATATTCTGTAACAAGACAGGTGTAAAAAATATCTCGGATGTATTTGAAATCTCTGCCTCATCACTGAAAAATCTGTAAAGAAATCGGAGGGGAGCGGGGCTGCCTTCCCACCC